TCCCCCCCCCCCCTCCCTTACTCAACCCCTGTAAAATATTTTCATCAACCACCCCCCACCCGCCGCCGGCCACCCCTCACTGGCCCCTCGCCACCCACGACACACTCTGCTCGCGCTCACGCGACTGCAACAGCTCACCAGCTACCGACCGCCACCCCTCGCCACCGGACATGGTCGGCGTGTCTGTGGTCATCGGGGCATACACGCTCCCTGCGGTGGCGGTGGCGGCGGCGGCGGCGTCGCGCACATGCACGGCACCCGACGTGCTCACGGCGGCGGCGGTGGCGCTGGTCCTCTCCGCGGGCTTTGCCGCGGCGGTGGCGGCAGTGGCGGCTGGAGAGACTGCGGCGGCTCGCATGACATTGCTCCTTGCCCGCGCATCGTGCGCACCGCTTCCACCGACTCGCCTCCCCCCATCGGACGCTCGTCGTGGAGGATCGCCCCATGGCCCGGCGGCGGGGGCGCTGGTGGCGGCAGGCCTGGCGGCCATGGTGGGCCTCCTCGCCACGGCCCACTTTGTCGCCGCACCGTACCTGGCCAACGATCTCGCCGGATGGGCGCCGGGCCTCTCGCGGGTGCCCGCCGCAGTTGCTGCCGGCGGCGCCGTCTATCATCTCGCCTTCTCCCCGCTCGCCACCGACTCGGACTCGGCGGGCGCGCGGGCGGCGGCAAGAGCGGCACGCGTGCGGTGGCTGGCATCGGCGCCATGTCTGGTGGCGTTTCTGGCGACAATCGGCTCGTGCGGCATGGCACCGTTTACCTACGTCCCACTCGCGGCCGAGCTCCACACCGCGCTGCTGCATCTGCGCTGGGTCCTGCCGCCCGCGTGGCGTGCCTCCGCCGTCGCCCTCGCTCTTGATCTCATGGCCTGCCTTGCCTTTGTGCCGGCCAAGCTAGCGTCGACGCTCTGGCTCGGCATCCGCCTTGCCAGCGACGCGACGCCGCTTGCCGGCCTCCGGTCCTCGTCGTGGTCGTGGTGCGCCTCACCGCTCGCGCTTGCATGGGTGACCGCCCTGCTCTGGCACCACATCGTCGACTTTGGCAGCCTCGTCCGGCGCATTGTGGCCTACAAGCCACGGTAGGTAGCTTGGCTTGCTTTACTGGCGCTTGCTTCGCTTCTTCCGCTTCTTCTTGTGCTTTGCCGTCTCACTCGGTGTCCGCGGCGTCCGCGGCTCACGCGAGGCCTCGGTCCGTGCCATCGAGGCCTCGGCCTCGTCGCCTTCAGCGCCAGACTCGCCCCGGACTACACTCGGCTTGTCGATCTCCTTCTCGTCGTCGACGCTGATGCCGGCGTCGAGGAGGTGGCTCTCGCCAGCAGCCGCCGACTCGTTGAGCGCAGAGACCGAGACCGAGGAGAGGAACTGCTCCTGCTCAAACACCAGGTGCGTCGCCTTGCGGGTGTATGCGTACATGACCGGCGTGAGGAGTGGCGCGAGCGACGAGCCGACTGTCTCATCAAAGGTGACCTTGGCCGATGGGGCGAGCCCGAGCTCGTGGTACACCTGGTGGAGGCCCTTGCGTGAGAACGGGTTGTCGTCCTCGGGCACCGACGACGGCATTGTCGCGTGCTCCAGAATCGACTTGAGCTGGATGATCGAGACTGCCGCAGCCTGCGCCGCGTGCTCTGTCGCGAGCTGCTCGCCAGACGCATCCTCGCTGTTGCTCGCCACCGCCGCCGTCACCAGCCACGCCTTGCGGACCGCCGCAAGACCCGAGACGTCGCGGCAGAGGTACCGCAGCAGCGAGACGTAGTCGACGCCGCCGCTCTCTGCCGGCGTGAGATGATCGAGGAACATAAACGCAAACAGCTCTTTGAGCTGCCCGGCCCGGTCAAAGCCAGTCGCCTCATCGGTCACGTACCGCAACTCCATGGCCTCGAGCGCTGCATCGCCTACGGGCTCGTAGTACCGCGGGAACCCGGTGTCCTCTTGAGGATCCTCCGGCAACGGCGTCTCGAGCCCGATCGTCGTCAGGTTCGACCGCCGCGTCAGCTCAGCCTCATCCACCCCGTGCTCGAGGTTGAGCTCGAGCAGCGGCACACTGCGCTCGACACCCCGCGGCGTACTCGCTACCTCGACCACATCCACCGTAGCATCTGCACCCGGAGCAGCATCAGCATCAGCAGCCGCAGCAGCCTCGGCCTCGGCAAAAGAACTTGCGAAGCGTCGAGCGAGCAAACCGACGACTCCGAGTCAAACGTCTCGGGGTCAAACGACCGCCCAATGGCCATCGGCCCTGGTGACGGCGGGAGCAGGTCGTCGTCGTCGTCGCCGTGCGCCGCCGCCTCGGCTGCCGCTGCCTCGGCCGCCGCCTCGTCCTCTGCCCGCTGCGCTTCGACCAGCTTGCACATGGCAGAGTGCTCAAAGAAGAGCGGGACAGAGGCAAACGCCTCTCGCGAGACGCGCCCGCGTGACTGGTGGTCGTGCGCCGCATAAGCCCGCTTCAGCGTCCGCAGTTGCGCGAGCGACGGGTAGTACGGCAGCGCGAGGAGGACCACAAGCTCGCGCCAGTCGACCGAGCCGGTCCGGTTGACATCGATGATTGACGCCAGGAGCTCGATGCGCTGCCGCGGCAGGTCAAGCCATGCCTTGGGAAGTGCAGGTTGCCCGTGCGCAGACGCCGCTTGCAGCCGCAAAATGAGCAGCACAAAGTCATCGGCAGCAACCATCCCGCCCGGCGCCTCGGCCGAGAACGCTAGGCAGAGCGAGAGCAGCTGCTTGACAGTAAACCGCCGCTCGTGCAGGCTCTCCCGCACAGGTGGTGCGGGTGGCGGCGGCGGCGCCTCGCGGACCCGCAGCCGCTTGTCGATGACAAAGTGAGTGTCCTCCAAATTCAGCTGGTACTCCAGATACTGCTCCGTCTCGATGGCCACCCGGGCATGGTGGACAAGCGCGTTGACGGCACCCACCTCCTTGCGGAACCGCGCTCCGAGCGTCTCGTCCAGTGCCGTGTACGTCGTCCGCGCCTCGGCACCCAGCCGCCCCACAACCTCGTTTCCGCGCGCAAACAGCCGACCGACCCGCTGGCTAAACACCACAGCCTCTGAATACCGCGCGCGCACAAACCGCCGGCTCTGCTCAGGCAGCGCGTTGTACGCCACCACGAGCGGCGACGAGTCACGCATCTTCTGCATGCTAGCCAGCGCCCCGCCGGCCTCGTCGTCCATCACATGCCGCCCGCCGCCGCGCACTCGCTCGCCGTCAAACAACAGCTGGCACGCCCCAAGCGGGAAGAGCTCGCCGAGCACACGCGGGGACGGTGTTGCCCGCCACCGCGCCACCACCGGCACAGTCTCACCCCGCCCGCTCCCACCAGTGCTGTCGTCCACAACCGCCTCGACATCGGGGTTTGCCTCAGCCCCAGCTTCGGCAGTTGTCCCGAGGACAAGGCCAGCTGCAAACGCGGTGGCGTAGGACGCCACCATCGCCGCCTGTAGACTCTCAAAGTCGTCCACAATCTGCGTCGGCGCTGGCGTCGTCCCGCGCTTAACCTTGGCCGACGCCGCCGTCTCCTTCCGCCGCGACGAGCCGCGCTTGCGGTCGCGCGAGGACGTCGCCGGCAGACCCGCCACCGGCGCAGAGCTGGCTGCCACCTGCGACGCCTCGGCAAGCTTGGCCATGAGCGACGAGACCGACACGTTGAGCTTCGACTGCGCACCGGAAATCTCCATGTATCGCACCCACGCGACATGGACCTGGCCCAGCTCGCCGAGCTCACCGAACCGCAGCTCACCGCCGTCGTCGGGCAGCTCCGCCCGGACATCGGCCTCCGGGTCCAGCCCGGTCAGCGTAAGCGCCGCATGAGCAGCGTTGGCGAGCACATCAAGCGTCGCCTGTTCGTACCCGACCAGATCCTCCAGCGTGACCTGTTTTGCCGGCGCGGCTGTCACCGCGCCGCCGGCTGACGTGCTTGCAGCCGGCGTGCTCGGCGTTGCCCGCGCCGTCCGCGACGACGACGACCGGTGCGACCGCCGCTTGGGCTGCGGCGAGCTTGTCCGGTCGCCCACGCCGTCCGGTCCGGTCTCGCCACCTTCAACCTCGGCCTCGGTCTCGCCGTCTGCTGCTCGCCGCGACCGCCGTGATGAGGTTGAGACTGACTTGCCCTTTCGCCGTGACGATGGGGTGGCGGACTCGGCACTCGCTGGGACACTCAGGTTCGTTTCCATCGCCGCCGCGGCGGCGGCGGCAGCGACTGAGCTCGCAGACGCCATAGAACGCGACGCACCAAGCATGGCCGACCGGTCCAGGAGAACAAGCGGCTGGATGGCGACCGTCGGCAGCTCCACTCGTTCCGGCATGCCGTCCGGAAGCGGGAGGCCGAGCGCCACCGCGTTAAGATCATGCAGGAAGAGCGACGAGGCTTGGAACCGATCAACCTCCAGCTGCACAAGCCGGATGAACAGGTTCGTTACCTGCGCCAGCGTGTTCTCCAGCCACCGGTCGTTGAGAATGAGCGCACGTTCGGCTTCGGCCTCAACCAGCCGCGTGTCGGCGATCGTCCACAGTACCTCCTTGAGGTCGTCAGTCTGCTGGAAGAGCTCGGCCTTGGCCGCAGGCTCCAGCCGGAGGTCGGCCTCCATGGCGTTGAATTGCGTCGTGAACGAGGCCACAAGCTCGGCGGTCACCTGCGCCGGGCGCCGCAGAAACTCGGCAAATGACGACCGTACGTCGTGCAAGTGGTGGACCACCTCGTACCGCAGCTCACGGAGGTGCCGGAACACCAGGCGCGCGTCCTGCGTATACACGGATTCGAGCGTAAACCACTGCTCCAGAAGCATGTGCGCCGCATCCTCCTCCAGCGTCAGCGTGCCGGCCGAGAGCAACGCCGTCTCACCCACGACCTTGTCCTCGTCAACCTCGTCGTCGCGCCCACGGCTGCTTTCGCCGCCAGCGGCCGCATAACCACTCTCGAGCCAAGCGGTCTCGCTTCCAGTTGCACTCACGGCCGTCACGTGGCTCCGGGACGTTTCCAGCTCGGACTCGTCGGCGTTTGTCTGCGGCGCTCCGCTTGTCGAGTTGAGGCGGGCGGCGGTGGCAGCCAAGGGCTCTTCCGGGGCGGCGGCAGATGTCGTTGCGGCGGCAGCGGCTTCGGCAGCAGCGGCAGCGGCAGCAGCGGCCTCGGCTTCGCGGCGTGCGGCGATGCGTGCGTCGAGCAGAGTGAAAACCACCTTGAACGAGTCTTCCAGCGAGTCGTAGACCGGGACACGGGCGTAGAGATCCTGGAATGACGAGAACCATTGCGCAAGTTGCGGGGCGGCGTCGCCGTGGACAGCCAGCCGGTGGATGAGCTGCTCGCGCGTCCGCTCCGGGTCGTCGACAGGCTCGAGCCGGTCGGCAATGCCAGCGTCCGACGGAGGCGGGTCAAACTCGATGTGGTACCGGAGGTTAGTCACCGGGTCGACGACGCGGCCGAGCGCCCGTCGGAAGATGGCGTCGTCGTCGACGTCGAGGTCGATGACAAGGTCCATGTGCGAGACCGGCGGCGGCGCCACCGGGTCGGGCACTTCGGTCGGCGGCGCAATCCGCGACTTGCGTGCAGACCCACGCTTGACTGCCGCCGCAAACGGTCGCGAGTCCGAGTGGCCTGAGCTGCCACCGGTCCGCCGGTGGCTCGCTCCACTCACCCCGGGCTCTTCGTAGCCGGAGAGTGCGGCCTCGAGCAGCTTGGCCTGATCGAGTGTGGCCGGAAAGCCATCGAGGACCCAGCCCGAGACATTGTCGAGCGCGCGGATGCGGGCCACAAAGAGCGCCACCAGAATCGGGTCCGGAACCACGGCGCCGGCCGCCAGCGCCGCCTGCGTAGCCGCCGCCAGCTGCGCGAGCGACATGCTCGCATAGTCGGGCTGCGGCGGAGCTGTAGTCTTGGAGCCTCGCGACCGCCGCCGCGGCTTGTTGCTCGCCATCGCGCCCGATGCCTCGAAGACTGTCGAACCGCCCGACGCCGAGAGCGCCGGCACCTCTGCAGCCGCCGCAGCCAGCGCCAGGGCAAAATCATCGGTTCCACCCGACTCACCGGGCGCAGGCGCAGCAGCAAGCGCCCACTCAACAACGCCAACAGGCGTGAGTACTTCCATTGAGTGGACCTGCGCAAGCCGCCGCGCCATGTACGACTTCCCGGTCAACGGTTTGCCCAGAATCGCCACCTTGAGCGGGAACGGAGGGAGGACCGGCTTGGGCGGCGGCGGCGGCGGCGGGACCGCAAGCGCAATGAGGTCGCGGACCCAGTCGCCGAGTACCCGGTTGTGCGAGAGCGGCGGGCCGTCAAAGAGCCACTCGCCAGTACCGCTGAGGTATTCGTCGAGGGCGAGTGCGTCGAGGACAGCGGCTACGTGCCGCTGCGACGGGGTCTTTCTCGGCGCCGCGGCGGCAGCTGCTGACCGCGGCGTGAGCGCTAGCGCCGGCGGGAAGACCCGCGGGGTAAAGTCGCCTGCCTTTGACTCGTCGCGTCCGTCGCTGTTGAGATCGTCCTCTGAAAACTCGGCCGCAAGCCGATCAGCAGCGTTGGAACCCCACGGGAGCGAGTCGCCTGCTTCGGACGACGAGGCGGTGGGCGGGACTGGCGGCTCTTTGAGCTCGTCACCTTCCGGTAGAGCCATGCCCAGCCGGGCGCTAGTAAGCTCGACGCTGGCGTCGTCATCGTCAACGGCAGCCGACTCGTCGGCACCTCCTGAGTCGGCGCCTTGGTCACCGGCCGCCGCCTCGGCAGCGTCGGTGCGGGTAGGGCCACGACTCGACGAGTGCCGGCGGCGGACCGAGCCCGCGCTTGAGCCGGCAGAGCGCTGGCGGCGGTGAGAGTGCTTCGACGACCGGCGGCGCGATGTCTTGGACGAGGCCGCGGAGGTGTGCGACCGCGGCGATGCCGGCGGCGAGGCGTCGGACGCGTCGGCTCCTGAAAGGCCCTGGCCTTGTCCATGGCCAGGAGCCGCACCGGGCGGCAGACTGAGTGAAGCTCCCGTCTGTTCGGCGGCAGCAGTGAGGGTGGCGGTCGAGCCGCCAGCGGCGTCGACCGACCCGTCGTCGCCGTGCGAGTTGTCGGCAGTGTCGGTGAGGAGGAACGACGAGGCGTCCTTGTCGGGGGTGGGCGGCGGCGAGGAGAGGACGGCCGGCTTGAAGAGCGGCATGCCGGCGACAAAGCAGGCGACCCACTCGGACATCATGGCGGCCGGCACGAGGTTATCGGTCATGTAGCGATACTCGGCGACCTTGATGGAGAGGTCGACAAGCGCGTGGGTGACGGCCTCGCACACCGCGTAGTTGGCGGCGTACTTTTCGGCGGCGTTGGCGCGGAGGAGCGCAGCGTGGCGCTCCTTCTCGGCGAGGACCTGGGCGCGGTAGCGGTCTGCGGCGGCGGCGGTAAGGACCTTGTCGCGCTCGAGCGCAGCCTCAAAGTCGGCCTGTCGGCGGGCGGCGTACTGCGACTCGCGGAAGACGCGGTTGGCGTAGATGACCTGCTTCTCGTAGCGGGTCTTGAGCAGATTGTGCGCGAGCTGGGCCTCGGCCTGCGACTGGCGCATGAGCTTGGAGAGCAGTAGCTGCTCGACGCGCTTCTCCTCCATGTCGAGGTGAGCCTTTTGCTGCTCAAGGAGAACCTTGCGACGGCGCTTCTGGCGCTCCTTGCGGGCCTCGACCTCGTCGCGCTTGGAGGCTTGGATGGAGGCCAAATACGACGCCGACGCCTCCTCCATCTGCGAGCGGGTCGGAACCATTGAGCGGATGCGACGCATGTGCTCGACCGGCGGGAGCTTGGCCTTGGCCGCCCAGGTGAGGATCTTGGATGGATCGTGGAGCTCGTCCTCCATGGCCTTGTTCTCCTTCTCACCCACACCCATTCTCCGAATGTTCTTCTCAAACGACTCGATTTCGTCGTTGACCTCGGCGGCCTCGGCCGCGCGGCTTTGCTGGACCTTGGCAAGCGTTTTGTACTTGCGAGTGAGCTCAAACTGGCGCTGGGTGCGCTCGCGCTCGAGCCGCAGCGTCATCGCCTTTTCGTGATTGAGCTTGGACTGCTCCTCAAAGGCGGCCGAGGCGCGGGCGCGCTCGGCCCGCGCTGCGAGCTCGCGCCGCCGCGCCTCGGCAAACTGCGCCGTCCGCTCGTGCTCGGCACGGAGCATCTCCGAGTGGACCCGCGCGTCGTGAGCGCGCCGGTGGTCAGCGAACCGCTTGACCACGGTCGACAGCGCCGCGTTGCCCGACTGCGAGACCGACTGCATGTCACGGAGCCTGGTCTGGAACAGCCGCTTCTCCATCGCCGCGTACTGCGGAGCGGTTGCGCTTGCGCCTGTGGCGGCGAGCGGCGGCAGCGACACCACAGCTTGGCCCGCGGCAGCACCCGGGCCTGAGGCCGAATGACCCTTGTGCGGCGAGCGTGCAGCAAGCGCGGCTGAAGTCGGCGGAGGCGCGCCGTGGGCGGCCGGTTGCGGCTCGGCCGTGGCGCTGAGGCCTCGGCGAGCGCGGAGAGAGCGGCGGTCGAGCCTGCGGCCGTGCGAGAGCGGAGCAGCGTCCTGGCGCGGTTCCCAGGGAGCGGTGAGTCTCCTTTGAGAGGGAGTTGTCGGAGCCATGCCCGAGACAGTCATCTTGATGTGATACAGCAGCTTGCCGACCACGCCACGCTTCTCGGTCATGATGTCGTTGGCGGTGTTGGAGGCGAGGCGGATGCCCAGAGCGCTCAGCGAGGCATGGAGTCTGTTCCAGTTGCCCACCCGTGCATCCAGCTTTGAACTCGAACGAGTAAACAGATTGAAGTCGCCCTGGGCACCATAGTGCGCCAGCAGCTCGCCAAGGAGGTAGCCGTCGGCAAAGTCGGCCTCCAGCGAAGTGACTCGCTGCGAGAGCCCGACTCGGTCATTGAGCCACTCCTTCAGCAGCTCCGTCATTGCCAGGAGAGCAGTATGTGTGTGTGTGTGTGTGTGGGGGGGGGGGGGGGTAGTAGTGGGTGGTGGAGTGGTGGTGGTGGTGGTGGTGGTGGTGGTGGTCGCAGACGGGGCAGCCGTGGCAAGGGCGGGCGGGAGGTGGCGGTCCCCGTTGGTGGCCGTTCGTTGGCTGCTGGCTGTTGCCTGCTTCCGCCGTTTGTTTGGCTTTGACCCCTTTTTTCCCGCCTTTCCAGACAGACAATACTCTGAATCAGCTGTTATCAGTTGTTGGTGCAATCGTTCGCTTTTTTTCGTCTCACCATGTTTGTTGTTGTCGATGCCGTCGATGCCGTCGATGCCGTAGACGACGGGTATGGTAGTAGTACAGTCATGGGGGGGGGGTAGTTTAACCAAGCTTGGCCAGGAGGCGGTTGACCATGACGGTGACCTCGGCATCGGTGAGAAACTCCGAGTTGAGGATGGCATTGGCGATGACAATGGTATGGAGCGGACTCGCCGAGTCGATCCAGACCCGCCCGTTGAGGCCCAGCGCCACTTCGAACGGGAGGCGAGCACCGAGTGCAGCCAGGACTGCACATTTGGGATTGAACAGTCGCCGGACGAGCGAGAGCGAGGTGTTGACCACATACCCGTCGGCAAGCGGGCCGTAGCCAGCTGACTTGCCCTTGGCATCGACGCACTCGAGCTCCGGATCCATATCCTTGTCCGCCAGCGTCACCCGCGCGTACACCAGGTCGCCGACCTCCAGCTGCGGGCGATTGCGCTTGGTCGCGCCCTCAAAGGCCAGCAGCGAGAGCGCAGCCGGAAAGGCTGAGCCCAGATCGACGTCGTAGTTCTCGCCGCGCCGCGCGGTGACCACGCCAACCACCGCATCCTCCCGCGCCGGCACGTACCGCTTCTGCGCCGCATCCACCCAGAATATGATGGTCGCGGTCGGGCTATCCTTCTTGATCACCACCACGGCCTTGTTCTCGCTCGTCTCGGTCTCTGATGATGCGCCGGCCTCGCTCTTGCCCTTGCCCTCTTTGCCGTCATTCGCCACTCGCTTGCGCACCACCCTGCCACCAGCAATGCGCAAGACACCCGCCTTGGTCGCCTTCACCTTCTTGCCGTCCTGCAGCAGGCCAAAGCCAAGCCGGAGCGAGGCGTCGTCGAGCTTACCCACGACCTGACCGGGCGAGACCACCGAGCCCACCGCCTCAGGGAGTTCCTTGACCATGGTTGGCGTGCGTTATATGTCTATATAATTGTATACTTGAGCGTACGAGTATGTATGTGCGAGAATATGTGTGGTATGTTTGTGTGTGTGTGTGTGTGTGTGTGGTGTGTGTGTATGGAGAGGGGAGTGTGGTTGTCGGTGTCGTCCTCCGCAGCTCTGATCACCCTCCTCCTCCTCCTCCCCTCCCCTGTCCCCTCCCCCCCCCCCCGTACATCAACCACCTCTACCACTCCATCGCCTGAGCATCCTCCCCATCAGCACACACCACCTCCTTCCTCACACGTTTACCTACCCATCCATCTCATCCTCTTTCCCC